TGATGTGAGGATAACAGCAGTGCTCACCTGATAAGCTGTGGAGCTGGGAAAACAGAGGAACCATGGCCGGGACCCTAAAACAGCCCTGCGGGTTGGGAGCCCCATTTTCACAAGAGGTCAGGTGATTTGTCTAAACCTGAGTCAGAACCCCTGCCTAACCACTCCTCTTCACCCCCTGGGTCGGTCACATCGAAGTTTTCCACACTCACAGGGCATGCATGTCACTGTGGCTGATGGGAGGTGGCCTCTTTTGAGAGAAGACAGTCCCAACCCCACACCAAGCAGACCCCTTGTTCCTTGCCCTGAGCCCTTTGCTCTGCCCAGTCTGCCCCCCTGGCTCCTCACCTCCTGGTTGTTCCCCTCTGAGAAGTTGGGGACACATTCCACCAGGCGAGACATGGTCTGGGCCTTAATCCTTGATTGGGACGCTGCTCTCACAAAGCAGGAGGAGGGAAGGATGGACGGGGCTCTCCAGTGCCCGGCAGGCCTTTATACCCCCCACCAGGCTGCTTATTAACCATCAGTTATGACGAGGAGAGAGGCACAGGCTGGGCCTTATGCAAACACCAAGCGGTCCAGGGAGGGGAAGAACCAGGATCCCTGTGAGGCTATGATGTTGGAGGAGGTGGAGGGATTGCCCTGCCCAGGGTGGGCACTCCTGAAAGAAGCTCTTGTGACTGGGACCCTCAGTGGGGAAAAGTCTTCACGAGACCATGACCTCAGGTCATCTGGGACTCCACTCCCAACTTGGCCCATGGCCATCTGGTGGCCATCCATGTGACCTCCTTCATGACCCTCCAGGTGACCCTCTGGGCTTCCATTTATTCATGTAAAAGCCCAAGCCTCAGAGCATCCAAGGGACAAGAAGGGCCCTGTGAGGCCCCAGCACTGACCTGGCTCTGGGCAGAGGTCAGCTCAGCCTGTCAGGCAGGAGAGTGGGGGCAGTGAGTGTGTGCAGGTGTGTGGGTGTCCCCGTGAGGCAGGCAGGACAGCTGAGGCCCCAGCTCTCCCCAGATGTGACTGCTGCCCCTCAAGACTGGGGGCTCCCCACAAAGGGCCAACATGTCCCTGGTCAGCAGCACAAGGCCCTGCACTCAGAGGGCCACGCTCAGGTCAATGCTGTCTTGAAGTTCTTAATGATCTTATTTATTTATTTTAAATATTACAGATGTCCCTTTTTCTCCCCAGTGACCCATTCCACTCCGTCCCATCCCTCTCCCCAGTCCCTCTCCCCACCATTGTCCATGTCCTTGGGTTGTGCATATATGCATATAAATTCTTTAGTTATTCTCTCCCTCTCCACCCACCCATTTAATGATCTTTAGTCAAGGTGGGCATTTCACTCTGCAAAAGCCCACCAATCACGTGGCCACCTTGACGGCATGTCAACACCCCACAGACTGTACCCCATCTGTCATCCTCCCAGGCACAGGTGCCCCACACAGCGTTTAGGGTGGTCAGTGTCTGAGGCTACCTCACCCCTCAGCAGTCACCATGGGGCCAGGGCAAGGAGGTGATCTTCAAATCCCCAGCTGCTGGCTCAAGGGAACTCAGAGGAAGAGGGGCCCCACCACCCTGGAGCAGACAGGAGAGCCCAAGGACCTTCCAAGGCTGGGGACTGGCCAGGTCCTCCCAGCCACGCTCCCCTGTGTGAATGCGGGTGACTACCATACCACCTCTGGGCCCCACGGAGAGGTTATGGAAGCCTCAGCCACACCTGACAGGCGCCAAAGGCCCAGAAAGGGCAGCTCTCCAAACCCACCCTGGTGCCAGGCCTCACATGGAGAGAGCCCCCAGCCCAGTGGGCACCCAGAAGTGCCAACCAGCTCCTCTTCTGGCAGTGGCCCCTGGTGCTGCATTCACGCATCTGCTAGGCCCCCAAGAGTCAGGGAGTTCCTCAGCCAGAAGTCGGTATTACATGGGTGGGAGGAGGGGGATGGGGTCTGTTACGGAATGAATTGTGACCCTAAATTCACACATTGAAGCCCTAACCCCTAAAGTGACTGTATTTAGAGAGAGGATCTTTCCAGAGGTAATTGGGTTAAAATGAGGTCACTAGTGTGGGCCCTAATCCAACAAGACTGGTGTCCCTATAAGGAGAGGAGATTAGGACACAGACACACAGAGGGGCAGCCATGTGAGGACACAGGAGACAAAGGTGTCTACATGCCAAGGACAGAGGCCTCAGGAACAACCAGCCCTGTGACGTCTAGGCCTTGGTCATCCAGCCTCCAGGACTGAGAGACAACAAATGTCTGTTGTTTAAGCCACCTGTTCTGTGGTATTTGTTGCAGCCTGAACTGACCAAGACAGGGGCCTAAGGTCCAGGGCATCCAGGACACACTAGTCTGTGAGGACCGAGGGACAGGTAGCCTCACACTAGGGCTGGCCCAGAAACCCCAACGCCTTCATCCTGGTTCCCACAACAGAGAAGTGACTGGAGACACTTGAAGCCAAACCCCAGGAAACAGGCAACGCCAGGCCCTGGTCCTGACTGCAGGGCCCAGGAGGTCCCCTACCCTCTCTAGACCTTTAAGAGAGACTGACCGAGGGCTCCAGCAGGAGCAGTGATGCATCTCCTATGGAGACAGTCCTGGGCCGGGCTTGGTCATGGCTGGAACACAAGATACTGGGACTGGGACTAGACCTGGCGTGACGAGGGGTTTTGAGACATTAAAAATTCTACTAGATGCTATAAATAGTTCCTGAATAGGGAACTCCAGAAAGATCCGCCATTTATAGGGAAAAGTGATCTTACCTGGCTCCCAGATCCTGGTTCCTATCCCCATTCTCCAATAAAAGGGACCAGCACTCCTAATTCCAGACCCAGGCAGGAAACAGACGAAATCAGCCTATTAGCACACCAGGTGCCGGCCCGGCTTTCCCAGGACCTCCTACTTCCTTGAATTATCTCCCAGATAAACCGCCTCCCCTGAGCCAGCTTCATGGGCAACTGACCACACTGTTGCCTGGCCCACTCCCAAGTTAACTCTCTGCTGTAGCTTTCTTGACATTCCTAACTTTTGAACAAGGAGCCTGCGTTTTGGGGGTGGTTTTGGTTTTTTAAAAATATATCTTTATTAAAATACAAAGGAACCCCACAGTCTGGGAAAACATATTTGCCAAGGATGTATCTGATAAGGGGCTAATTTCCAAAGTGTACAAAGAACTGATATTACTCAACAAGAGGAAGACAAACAACTCAATTAAGAAATGGCCAAAGGACTTGAATACACACTTCTCCAAAGAGGACATACAGATGGCCAAGAGACACAGGAGAAAATGCTCAACGTGGCTAATCATCAGAGAGATGCCAATTAAAACCACAATGAGGTGTCACTTCACACCTGTCAGAATGGCTCCATCAACAAATCGACAAACGACATGTGCTGGTGAGGGTGTGGAGAAAGGGGAACCCTAGTGCACTGCTGGTGGGAATGCAGACTGTGCAGCCACTATGGAAAACAGTATGGAGGTTTCTCAAAAAATTAAAAATGGAGCTGCCTCTTGATCCAGTGATTCCACTCCTAGGAACGTATCCTAAGAATCCTGAAACACTAATCAGAAAGAATATATGCACCCCGATGTTCATAGCAGCACAGTTTACAATAGCTAAGAT